ACACACACACACACACACACACACACACACACACACACACACACACATATATATATATATAATTTATGGTTTTATATCACAATATGGCACGGTACGAGAGAGATCGAGTGCGGTAAAATTTTGTAAAATAAAACGATGAATATTCGTGCATCCGTAGGAATGTTAATTAATTGTGCAATCGATATTCCCGTGAAATGCGAGGATTTTCAATTAGAGAATGCGATGATTTTTAACTAAGGAACTTTTCTACATGTACTACTTTATCCAAATGCACCGTGTTCGTGAGAAAATTTCATTACGTCTAAAGCTCCGGAAAGTAGACAAACATTGATACACTGTTGACGGACACGTTACGGTATTACAGGCGCTGAAAAATGTCAATGCACTAAAAACACGTTGTTAATTTAATTTAAGGAATTAATTTAATATAAAATTAATATACAAAATAATATAAATATAAATAATATATTTTTAAAACACACATATATCTTGATTTCTTACAAACAAGAATGTTTTTCTCGAAGGAGTTTTAAATCGCTTATTGAATGGACTATTTGGATGATGCGTCATTAATTAATTATTAATACGGATGACGAGGCTGACTAAAAAAACTGGTTTGGTCGCGAACCTTTCGAGAGATTGCCAGCATAAAGAAGTTGAAAACTTATTCCAATCTTTGATAAGACATACTCCTGCCACTTTATGCAAACCGTTGCACGTGAGAAAGAATCGTTCAGCTGGCTTTTCTGTTCACGATAAAAGAAAAAGGTATGATCCTCACGGAAATCGAGGCGCAGGTACAGGAATGACCTGCTCGGGCTTGATTCTATATTCGCGTGTAACTCTGGGATCCGTGTTTGTCGTCGGAACAAAGGAGAAAATTGCATGGATATGAGATAAGGAATTTCTTCCGCATTCTTCAGCCGCTGGCGCCTGAACCTCTGCTTATTTTCCACACAATGCACTTTTATCGCAAGTGCAATTTGCGATTAAAAGAAAAAAGATATAGAGAACGTGATGAAATTATATATAGAGTACTTAATAGAAAATTAATATAGTTGACGTGTGTTTAAACAAAATACGTCACGCAATTAAAGAGAAATATTTTCAAATATATGGCGTATTTTAGAAGTCAATCGTTTACCTCGTTGGAAATTAAATTTTTTAATTTACATTACGTGCAGTTTTGTTCATTACCTATCATTATGTATAAGATTTTAAAAAATCACACCCACCTGTGATCGTGTCTCTTGATCACTCTACGCTTCTGGTATCGATTTCCATCGCGCGAGAAGACCTCGCATCAATTACCGGGGGTTTTTGCGAACGTTTACAATTCCGCATTTTACATCAAACACGTCGCACCGCAAAAACTGAAACGTCTTGCGATTAACCCGGCAAGGGCGTAGATCGAGACATGGTCGATCGTCGAATGACGCCGCGGCACCGACGACGACGACGAAGACCGCGACGACTAGCACGTCACAGACGCATCGCGACGTCTGACGTTCCCGCGTTTGTCGGCGTCGCGGTGCCGTCATGACGACCGCGTACGATAAAGTTCGCGTATGCGCCTTTGAAATGTGTTAAAACGCTTGCGCGGCTAGAAGCTACGCGAAATTATAATCCCGTGCACAGATTTTACAGAATCAAATCCATCTGCACGGAGAAAAAAAATTGTTGTTGATGTTGTATCAACAGGATTAGTCTAATTGGAAATAATCTTGTTCAATCTCAATTCAAAGGTCATGTTTTTGTTTTAATAAAATGAGTATTTCTTTTAATAAAATAAGCATTGTTTCACTAATACTGTTATTGAATTGACAAGATTATTTCCAATTAGACTAATGCTGCTGATACATCATTTTTTTCTCTATGTGCATAGTATTAACAGGAATAATTTTCAGGAAATAACAGGTGTAATTCTAACATATGATATTGTCTAGTGCTGCTAATAAAGCGTATTATGAATAAAATTTTCCATTTATTCCATTATATGTACAAAAATATTGTACATTTAGTATGACTTACGTTTTCTTCTCTGAATATATATGAATACATATATTATATTTTATATATAAATTTTATACGTATATATTATATTATATTTTTTACATATAATACATATCACATGTATGTAGATATATAAAATATATTTTTATTAATATGCATCTATATATATTTTCATACAATATAATTTTAGACCGTAAAATATTTTTCTGTGTAACAAACAATTTCTTATCCCCAATACCAAAAAAATATTGTATAGCTTATTATGTTTGTATCACATTGTATGCTCAGATGCAATTACTTCAGAAAACGTAGAAATTAGGAATAGTACAACAATGTCTTAACCGCTTCGAAACCCATAACTGCATATGCCACGAAGAAACTTATCGCTCTCATAGGTTGTTGTGAATATACTGCATACGATATGGTGTGAGCTACACGGGAAAGTACGAAGGTTCGTATCAGAATCTTGGCCAGCCATGCCGAAGGACCTGTTCCCAGCCAAAGATACGTGACTATGAACCAAGGCAGAATGTTCTCCAAGTCGTTCAAGTGTGCCCTGCGTACACGCTCCACATCTGGATCATCGTAAGCCACTTTGGCTTTGCTTTTGTTTTGGAACACAAGATCCTCTTGATTTGCAAATACCTACAACAATTGATCACAATCAGTTTCATTTTAGCTAATAGCCTCTAACGTTCATGTAACACTGAAACAGGACACGATAAAATATCTGTCTCCCCGTTAATTTGGTTAAGAAAAAAATATGTGCACTATTTAGATTTTAGATCTACAAAGTAAATTTTTCTTTATAATTCAAATATTTTCAAAGTTACTTTTTGCTACACATTCAGCATTTAATAATAGTGACAGTCCGTTCTCGAGGTAAAAAATTTTTTATGTTTGAATAATTTAATTATACAGAGACATCTTTTATGGAAAAATCATGAACATATGGCTATCTAATCTAGTGCGGATATTTTATTACGTACTCTCTTTCGGAATCGCTGTCGCGCAGTTAACGGCACCATCGCCAGCATTTTCAGGACCAGAATGCTGCCCCAAAAGCCGAATACTTTAAGCAATTCTGGATTTATTTCCGACATTTTTCCCGGCCTTCAGATTCACCTTCTCGACTATGTAATGATGATTCTGCTCGTTTTATGTTGCACGCAGTTAGTGGAGAGCAGGAGAGACTGAGACCTGGGAGAGACTCTAATCGACAATGACCGGCACGGCGATACGTTCCCTACTTCATCTATCTCTCACACACGTATGACACACACGTATGACACACACACACACACACACACACACACACACACACACACACACACA